AAGCAGTGAGGGGACAGATGAGATAGAGCAAGGCTTTGTAGGTCATTTAACATGAAGGAGCTGGGCATGGTGATATAAGGCTATAATCCCACCATTTGGGAGGCTGAAGCAGAAAGAGTATCGTATAAGTTGAAGACCAGCCTAAAGTAAATAGTAAGACCTTGTCTCAAAAAACAAAAAAAGAGGTTGAGGCAAGAGGATCCCTCTGGGCCAGCTGGGGCTATAAAGTGAGTTTTAAGTTCAGCCTGTACTACATAGCAAGACCCTGTCTCAAAAGATAAAAACAAAAAGAAAAAGGGGGGGAAAAAATGAAGGAGTTAGTGGGTTCCCCAAGCAACAAATTCCCTGAGGAAATTGATAGCCAAGCTGCCTTCAGGAAGAAGAGGGTTGGCCCTAGAGGGTTCTGGCCTCTGCATTGGTCCTTTTGTCTGAAATATTAACACAATGAATACTGTGCTTGACCTAAAGTACAGAAAACTGGAGAAAGCATTGGAACCAGGACCTCAGTGCAGAAGAGAAGGGCAGATAGTCAGTTGGTCTTGGTGCTGAGTTTAGGGCTTTGTGACTGTACAATTCCATGTCTCAACCCTGTCTTACTGGACAAGGCCTTTTCTGGCTAACAACTCTATAGCTTCCCTTAAGCAATAGGAGGCTTGGGCAGTTGGGCTGGCCTTAGGGACACATACCCCTGAGGTCTTCACATGTCTCTACTCTCATCTTTCCAACACTAGGGCAACTCTCTGGGCTAAAGCACTAAGTTTTGTACACCCTTAGCTCTGAAGAGCCTGAAGCTAAGGCATCTTTTGACGCTGGGACTCCCTGTGCCATGGTGCTGTCCCAAATCAGGACAATCTTTAGACTCCCTCTAGCCCCCTTCTCTTAGGGAGCTGGACTTTGTTCATTTGCCAAACCAAGGGGTCTACACCTAGGAGTATCTTCCAGGGCCAACCTGCCCTCCTAGCTCTCTTCTCTCCCTCCACAGGAACCAGTCACTTTATCTGTTCTTCCTACTGAAAGCAAAATGGTCACATCTGCAATTCCATTTGTCATTCAGGAAACTAGTCTGGCTATTTTCTCCCACCTTGCCTGGTCTGTTTCCTAAGACGGAGGACACACACACACACACACACACACACACACACGTATTCTCACCATCCGAGCCCCAATGTGTGAGAAAGCAACCCTGCCGTGGACTGAGGACCCAGCCCAGGCTGCGTCCTTAGAGTCTGAGTGTAGAGGTGGCCTCCTCCAGTACTGCTTGTGGGAGAACAGAATCCAGCAGCCATTCAGCCCAGGTCTGAAACGATGTGCCACAGCAGGGGTCTTAGGCATCTCAAAGATTGTCCTGAGCATTGCCAAAACCACAGGACTGGGCTCTGTACCCCAGCAGGGTCTTAACCTTCTTTCTTTGTTAGAAGTGATCCAGGAAATCTCTTCAGCATTTTCACCCAAGGAACAAAAATAGGAGCCAGCTGTTTCTGCTTCAATAGAAAGCCAGTATTGGTATGGGGAGGGTAGAGCATAAGCCATTGCTCACTATTGTGGGAAGCCGTTAACTGGTATCCATTTTATAATAGTGTCAGCCATTTTCTTAAGTTTCTATTCCCCTGCTGAGTTAAGTTTATGGTCCTTCTCACCTTGCCCATTCCCCGTGAATCACGTGCTATGCCCCAGAGGTGGCACCTTCCCCCGTTGCCTAGATACCTGCTGACCCCAAGAGCCGAGACTTCCTCATTCCTACACTCCCTATATATACCCAGCACCTCCCCTGAATAAACGAGACTTGATCAGAATCCTGTCTTGTCTCCATTCTTTGTGTCTCCTGTCCCTTCTCATCCCCACTCCCCCTCTAGGGTCCTCGTTGACTAACCTGCGGGTTGGGACAACTCTGATCTTATTCTTTTGTTCTTTCTCATCCTTCTTTAGGTCAAGCTTCTTCAGGGCATCCTGAGGCCCCAACTGCCAGTTGAAGGTCTACAGTTTCCCCTTCCATTGGCCCTGACCCTTGCTGCTCCTTCCATCCTGGACCAACCAAAAGCTGAATGGATGCCACGCTGTGCAGGGGTCCTCCAGGACCTCTGCTGAGCTGCTTCCTGGTGCTATGCAGCCTCCATACTCAGAAACAGGGGACTAGGCTGGCCTATGGGCCGGGGGTGATGGTACTGCTGGCCCAACACTGCTCTTTGTTTTCAGTTTTATTGTTTTTATTTTTTATTTTTGAATTCTTTTGATACTGTGAAGATCTTTCATGCTGAAAGATAAAGCAACATTTGAACACAGTTGGTGTGATTGTGATTTGATGCTCTGGACAGGGAATGGGGTGAGGGATTATTTAGAAGCATGAGATCTAATTTATTAGTCACTCACCTTATGAAGCAGATACTATGTTCCATCAGTTTGGCATAGTTTTTTGTTTAATCTTCAGGATTCCTCAGAACAATCATATATGGAACTATTAGCCCATTTTGTTGATGAGGAAACTAAGGCTAAAATGAGAAAGTGTCTTAACTTCATCTCACCAAGTGATAGCACAGCTCTGTATTTCTCTGGTATCTGTTTCTTTTCCTCCTGCTGGAAGAACCTTCGTATGTAAATCTGAAGCAGCCCTTTCCCAACATGGTGTTGATTTCCTTTTTTTTGCAAGATGGCTAAGCACCAGCAGGATGGATATAAGAAGGACTCTAAGATGTTCTAAGGCCTTGGTGGACATTGTACCTGAAGCTTAGCTGATAATCTCTTCACTGACTTTAAGTCAGGGACAGTTGAGAGTGAACTAAGTTTTTATAAACAGTCTGATGCCAAGTGGCAATGGGCCTTGTAGCCTAAGGATTTGAGAGTGAAGACAATAATCAAATGGTCTATAAAGTCAAGCAAACTACTTCATCTCTCAAATGGAGCTTGTTTGTAAATTCAGATTTTTTTTTTTTTGTAAATTCAGATTTTAATACAAGTGGCTTACTAAAAATGCCTCACATGTACTTACATCTAAACTGCCTCCCCACAAAGTAGTTTACTGAAACAAACTCAACTTTAACTTATGTAGGGAGTGTCACATCTAAAGAATCACCCTATAGTCACCAAGAGCCCTGCATAGTACATTAGCAGCAGCAACCAACATCCTTGCTGCCTGCCCACCCTGGTTAAGCCAGCCATACTAGGCGATTGTCACCTTCCTCTTCTAGAGAAAAGAATACAGCATATTGACCAAGGCTCACAATTCCTGGTTCCTGGCCTGTCCCAGTCTCCAAAGAAGTGTGACC